AGGTCAAAGAACTATGGCCATCAAGCTTAGCCCTTTCAACTGGACCAATCAAAGGCTTCAACCACACGTCAGCTCGGCCTGACTTCCTCAAAAGGTTTCCTTCAGCAGGAACTTCGATGGTAACTTGCCTCATAGCCTCACCTCCACTTGAGGAACCAACCTCAGTATAGTGAACAGTTGAAGGAGGAACAGTTGAAGGAGGAGTAGTCGAAGGAGGAACTGTAGAAGCAGTCAAAGCAGCCTGGGGAGGAACGGTAACAGCCACAACCGGCAAAGGAGTTATCACAGGAACGGGAGTAGAAAAAGAAGCAAGGGGTGCTTCATCAGAAATTGGACCTAAACTTTCACTACCAAACCCGCGGTTAAAAAGCTGCTCAACAGAATCATAAGCAGCAGCGGGAACATCATCATCGGGAATCACCAACGGAGCTTCAACAGACTCGGTAAGAGGAATGGAACGAGGGGGAGATGCTTCATCATCAGAAATGATTCGTCTACGAGCTCGTGGCCTTTTTACCAAGGAACTCCCGTATTCCTCTTCTTCAGAGTCTTGGTCAACAATAGCTTTTCTTTTCGATGAAGAGCCCAAAATTATCTCTTGGGCCCTTTCCAAAGAAATTCGAGAAGCTACGACCGCCTCAGCACTAATACCTCGGATAGCAAATCCTGATAAAAAGAAGGATTAAAATAAGTTATGGAAAAAGAAATAAGAAAAGTTACAAAAAAAACTCTTACCGTGAGTTTTCACTTTCCAACCAAATCGTTGAGAGAGAGTTTTCCAAGATCTACCTTCCATTGGGGCTATATTTAATAACTTTCCTACCCAACCACGAAAATTAAAAATTTCATCAACAACTCCCATGGTTGCTGAAAAAGAAAAGAAAAATTAAAATAATAATCATCAAAATTGAAGAAAAAGGTACGAGAAAGTTATTAAAAAGAAAACTCACGTGCAAAATTCCACTTCTCAGGGAAGGGAACGTTTTTTTCACCCAATAAACCAACAGTGGGGCCAGCAACAAACCTGGCATACCAGCCACGGTCTTTATCGTCTTCTGGGTTGACCAGGACTCTTTTGCTCCTTGCTACTAAAGTAAAAACTCCTTGGCGAAAAAGTTTGGGAGAATAAAGGATAATTAAATGAGAGAAAGAAAAAGGCACGCCGGCCATGTTGGTCAAATGCCTCAAACAGGCAACAGCCCTCCACACTATAGGTCCAATTTGACCTAAACAGACGTCGAAAAAACGACAAAATTCGAGGATAACAGGGTCAATAGCAGGTTTGAAGCCTAATGTAAAAGGGTATGTATAAACAAAAGAAAACCCAATTAAATAGGAGGTGATTCTTTGATTCGCATTGGGAATTATAATAGGGAAGTCATGACTCCAATGGCAGTCTTTACGAACTAAAGAAATCAGACCTTCAATGATCTGAGTTGGGTAGATATCAACACGATCTAAAGAGGACACTTGGTTTCTAAGAGACTCTCTATCATTGTAGAAAGATAATTCCGCAGGAACTATTTCCTCTACTGAAGGTTCACGAAGAGGTTCAGAAGGTTCCTTACCTCTGGAAGAAGACCTTTGAGAAAGAGAAGCTCTGGTTCTAGAAGAGGGACTGGAACTAGATGAAGGAAGAGAAGAACCATGTATGGATGAAGACCCTAAATTACGTAGTCTACCTCCTCTTCTGCTCCTACCAGGGGCAGGAGGAAAATTATCAACTGTGGGGACTCTCCTAGGGTTAGGGTTTGATGAGGACATGATAGTACGAGGAAGAAGCAAACAAGAATTGAATGTTCTGAGAATTTTATGTGAGAAAGACAAAGGTGAAAATTATATTTATATTTAGAAGCAACCGTCAAAGGAAAAGGTGCAATGATGGAAAAGTTATAATGAGAATTGTCGCTTCGTAATTGGTGAAGCCGTAAAAAAGCCTTAAAAGACGTTGCAAAGTCGTAGAAGCAATAAAAAGATGCCACGTGTAATAGGCATTAAATGGAAGTGACAAATGAAGCGGCGATTCCATAAGAGAATTAATGGCGGCAAATATTCCCGCTTTAATAAAATCCACTTCCCAAATATTCAATTGATGAATAAATGGCAAGTGGGGGGACTATCTGTATTGGAAAAAATTGTTTATATACATTGAAGTAATTGAAAGATGACATGTCATGACACGAAGGCTGGTCAACGAATGATGATTAGCAAAGAGGCACGAGTTGCAACAGATACGAGCAGAGACACGAGCAGATAATCAAAAGAATCGGTGCTCGTACCTATTTAAGTCCAAAAAATTAAGGAGAATGTATCTGACAGCACAAGAGAGTACGGATACAGTATTTAATAAGCAATTAACACTGAAAACATTAGAAAATCTGTATTGAATTATAATGATTGTCATTGTAACGTAACATTAAATGCCTTTAATTGTCTATAATGGCCTTATTATGACAAAGGCAAAACGTATATCTGAGAAATAGCTATAAAAAGGAGAATACTGATCATTTATAAAATATCATTGGAATATACTGATTACTTTGTTTTCTTCTGTTCTTCTTATTATTATCAAAGCCAAGTTCTTTCATTCATTTTATATATTAATTATCAGTAACACATGTTCTTCTAAAATAAAGCTTTGACCGAAATTACTATTTTTTGGTTAAACGACTTGTACATAAAAATTATAAATTTTGAAAAAAAGTAATTTTTGGAGTTAAGTTGAAAAATGGTATTTGAATGTTAAATTATGTTTGGACATGCATTTTACTGGAAAAAGTATTGTAATTTTATGAGTGGAAAATTTTTTTTTAAAAAAAAAAAATTGAAAAAGTGATCAAAACCACTTTTTGATTTTTAAAAAACTCATTTTCAAAATAAATTACACCAACTTATAAAAAAAAAATTTTAAAAAAATCGAGAAAAAAGTCTACGGACAAACGGGTTCATAGTATACTCTAATTTTGCGTTATAAAATAAAATAAACAATTATTTATGAAATTTAGGGACAGTAACGTGGGGGGAAGAGGGACCAGAATAAGAAAGGAGGGAATCGAAAAATAGCAGAATCACATGGTGAATGGACCAATGTATTAGTAGAGGTGTCAGTACGGCGTCGTTCTCTGCAGTTTTTCCCTTCCCAATAATCCTTTTCACGGCCCTATGCGTCACATTGCGTTTTGCAGTTAGCAGTGGCAGTGGCCCTCACTCTCTCCTTTTTTTAACTTCACCGTTCCCTTGTCCCAAGCCCCAGCCGCAGGCCTAGGCTTTTTCGGCCTTCGCTTTTTTGTTTTTTTTTTAAAATTTTTTTTTCCAGAGGCCGATACAATGTGACGGTCCGGATTTAACTGAACTCAGTAATTCTGACGCAGAATATAAATATATATTTCTGATATCATTACATAAAATAATATGAACCCCTAACTTTAAAATTACAATAAATTTAATGCTAAAAATTTTAAAGGTTGAATCAATAAAACTTCAATTCTAGATCATCCTATGCGTATAATAGTAGATATGTACTTGATGTGTTATATGTGTCAGCGGGGTTGAACGACACATAGGCATCAGAATAATTTTAAATATTTTTGGGTGACTAGACAGTGGCGAACGTTTATTAGAAACAATTTTCCTACCTTGTAAAAGGTATGCATAAGGTTTACGTACATCGCACCTTCCTTAGACTACTTGTAAAATTCATAAAAAAAACGTTAACAAATACTATCTCAACTTATAATTTTAAAAATATAACGAATGCAATATTAAAGTCTTTACAACTTGAATTCTACAATTAAAATTTTATATCCACCTCTACGAGTATATATTTATTTACCTGCTATCAAGCAAAAAAGCTATATTAGCTAGTACTTCTAGTTTGTTAAATAATTTTCTTTTTCTTATCATTAAAAAAAGAGAGGGAGAGAGAGGGGAATTGGCCCGTCAGCAACATAAAAGGTTACAAGAGAGTCGTGCCAGCACCGCAAATGAGCTAAAAAAAGATGCGCACAGCCCACAAATAGATGCCCCTAATTTGTATAAAGGAATAGTTAGAGCTCTCCTACGCCAAAGTGGATAAAAACGGATTCAGAATTTTAATTTTATTTATTTTAAATTTTAAAAGAATAACTTCAAATATTAATAAATGAGTTCTAAATCACTATTTATATATATTAAATAATTTTTTAACACAAATATATTATTAAATTTAAATATTTAAAAAATGATTGAGTTCGACCGAACACGTAACACAACTTCCACCTCTACCCATGTACCAAGGTTCATGTATACTTCCACATCAGAGACAGAGCTCATGGGTTCACCTTTACTACTGTGTCTTAAGCACCAGAGAATTTGTGGCCCCCTTGATTAGATCATCCATTTATACTTAACCCAAGCGCTCGTCATGCGAGTAGGTACACCTCTACGAATAATTTAGGTGATCTTCTTTTTCTTTTTCTGGAAAAATATATTTTGGTTTTCATAAAATAAAATAAAAAGTCTCTCTTAGTATTGGTAGATAAATAGTTTCTTCATCTCGTTTCACATAGCGGTAATTGCCTAGGTACAAACACAATTTAATTAAGAAAAAAGATTTTTTACACACACCAAAGATATATTTAGTATTGGATATTACCATGATATTTGTACAGTTAACATAAAAGTAGTAAACAAAAAATAAGTAGTTAAAAGTTAAAAAGTTTTCTAAATATAGAATTATATTATTTCTTTTGTGACATATTAACTAAAAAAATTATCATATTACATGAAATATAATATATATTGTTTAAAGTAATTAAATACTAGACTAGAAGTTTTTACTATTCTTCTTCACTTTTTGAACAAACGTCATTTAGACATTAGATTAGAAAAATGGTTAACAAACTTTTCCCAAAAATTATTTTCGTAAAAAAATTCCACCACTTTTTCATCCAATGTTAGTTTATAGTATATCATAAAATAAGATATAAAAGTAATTTAGTTATATATTTATAAATGGTGTCAAAAAAGAAAAATAAAGCCCATATTATTGCTAGCCTCTTCTCATCCTTATCTTCTCCAGTTCCCCTCTGTTCCTCTCTTGGAGCTCGCGCCTTCTTCACGAGCACTTCCTCTTACTACTCCTCTCCTCTTTCTCACAACTCCCGAAAATAAAAATAAAAATATTCAAAACAAAAGGAAACAAAGCAGTCCCCAAAAATCTGAAAGTTGATACAAAAAACCAAGCAAAAAAATCAGACCTTTTTCTTCTTCAAACTCCCCCATTCATCATCCCACATGAAAAATCATCCAACTTTCTTGAAAACCAATTCCTTGTCAATATTCAGCACTTGTCACACGCACCCAATAATCTGAAAAAAAATCCCACAAAAAAAACGAAAAGAAAAAAGAAACCCCATTAGAGAAAATCCCAAGAAAATGAAGAGAGATCGTGATAGAGAAAATCCCAAGATGGTTCTTCTTCTGGTAAATCTAAGATTTATGAAGAAGAACAACCAGATGCTGGAATGGATGAACTTTTAGCTGTTTTGGGCTATAAGGTTAAATCTTCAGATATGGCTGAAGTTGCACAAAAACTTGAACAACTTGAGATGGCTATGTGTACAACATTAGAAGATGGAATTTCTCATCTTTCTACTGATACAGTTCATAAAAATCCTTCTGATCTTTCTGGTTGGGTACAAAGCATGTTATCTGAGCTCAATAATACTTCAGTTCCCTCTAATTTTGACATGATTGGTAGTATTGAAGAAAAAGATTTAGGTGAATCTTCTAGTAATATTGTTATCAATGAGCAAAACAGAATTATTTCTGATGATGATTTAAGAGCAATTCCAGGTGGAGCTGTGTTTGCAACAGAGAGTAATAAAAGACAGAGATCTTGTGTTCCACTAACAACAGATGCAACAACAAGGCCAGTTGTACTTGTAGATTCACAAGAAACTGGTGTTCGACTTGTGCACACATTAATGGCGTGTGCTGAAGCTGTCCAACAAGAGAATTTTAATGTAGCTGATGCGCTTGTTAGACACATTGGAATTCTTGCTGTTTCACAATCTGGTGCTATGAGAAAAGTTGCTACTTATTTTGCTGAAGCATTAGCTCGACGAATCTATAAAATTTACCCACAAGATTCAATTGAATCATCTTATACTGATGTGTTACAGATGCACTTTTACGAAACTTGTCCATATCTCAAATTTGCTCATTTCACTGCAAATCAAGCAATTCTTGAAGCTTTTACTAATTGCAATAAAGTCCATGTGATTGATTTCAGTTTAAAACAAGGGATGCAATGGCCAGCACTTATTCAAGCTTTAGCTTTACGTCCAGGTGGACCGCCAGCATTTAGGCTTACTGGAATTGGACCTCCTCAGCCTGATAATACTGATGCATTACAACAAGTTGGGTGGAAGTTAGCGCAATTAGCTGAAACTATTGGGGTCGAATTTGAATTCCGAGGATTTGTAACAAACTCATTAGCTGATCTTGATGCTGAGATTCTTGATTTAAGGTCAAGTACTGAAACTGAAGTGGTGGCTGTTAATTCTGTTTTCGAGCTACATAGATTATTAGCAAGACCTGGGGCTGTAGAAAAAGTGTTGAATTCGATCAAACAAATGAACCCGAAAATCGTGACGATTGTTGAACAAGAAGCGAATCATAACGCTAGTGTTTTTATGGACAGGTTTAACGAGGCATTACATTATTATTCAACAATGTTTGATTCGTTAGAGAGTTCAGTATCAACATCATCCACTGGGTTGACTCAGCCGATCGTTAACAATCAAGATTTGGTTATGTCTGAGGTGTATTTGGGGAGACAGATATGTAACGTGGTGGCTTGTGAAGGTGTGGACCGAGTTGAACGACACGAGACACTGAGTCAGTGGCGAGTTAGGATGAACTCGGCCGGGTTCGATCCGGCTCATCTCGGTTCGAATGCGTTTAAGCAGGCGAGTATGCTGTTGGCGTTGTTTGCGGGCGGCGATGGTTACAGAGTTGAAGAGAACGATGGGTGTCTTATGTTGGGTTGGCATACTCGGCCACTCATCGCCACCTCCGCGTGGCGGCTCAAGGCGGCCGGCGATGCCGAGTTGTAGTGAGTCAACTCACGGAGGAAACTGAGTCAGCTCGGGTACCCCCACCCTCCTTTTCTCTTCCCCTCACATGGTGAATTATCAGTGAATGGGTGGTGGGTGGGTGGGTGGTGATTGTAATGTGAGGGACAATGAGAGAGACGTGCCTAAAAATTAGTCAAATCATGTCTTTTATTTTTAACCTCTTCATAAGTCAGCCTTTGTTTATTTTTTACTTTTAACCACTTTATATTTTGTTGTAGTAGTAGTATTTATTGTTTTTCTTTTCTTTTTTGCCTTTTGTGGGTTGGTTAGATTTTCCCCTTCTTACTTGGCCGCAATAAAAAGGCAAGAGCGTGATGTGTTGGGGAGAACTTTTATTTAATTTGGCTGATTGGAAGTTGTGAAATAAATAATCATTTTCCAAGTTTCTTTATCTTATTTACAGTTTTACAATTTATTTTAATTTACTTTTCTAGTTTATATTTGAGTATTATAGTGAAATTTACATTTCATGTTGATTAAAATAAACATATGTTCTTAACTAATTTTATTGGATATCCACTATCTCCCACCAGATCACCAGTACAGAGTTAGAGAAAGATTTTTTTTTTATATTACCAAAATCCATTAAGAACATGTGGTCTTAAATAATCAATAATATTTTTATGACTATAAAATTATTAAGTATAAAATGAAAAATAAATCACTTAATAAATGTAAAGTAAAAGAAGTGCCATTTTTATAACACACTAAAAAAATATAGTCTCAATGAAACATATAAAGAACATATTAGGAAAAAGTTTTACAAAAATATTCACTTGAACACGTGAGTAATAAAAAGTTAAACAAGTTGAACAGGGGGTAATACATTCAACTAAAGTCTTACTGTTTTCATTTCTTTAAGTCTTTACACCTTTGTCAATTAATATACTACTACTCCGTACTTGTTTTCAAGGATCTATAGATAGCTTATCAAAATCACACGCCCGCCTTAATAAATTCTTTTATTTACTTCTTAAGCCACAATTGTCAACTTTATACCTATTAAGTCTTGGACATGCTCGTATTATATTAATATGGACAAATTATTTTATTTTTTTATTCCTTCAACAATCATGCATAAATTGTAGTCTGCCCTTTCATAATATCAATTTACCATAAAAAATTGACTCAAATCGTAGCTTATTTTACAATCAATTTATTTTACATAAGTAGCGACCTATACGAATGGTGTAATGATTGTCTTGTTGTTTCTGACATAGACCTGGTAAAATTAAATTCTTCGTGAAGACGTAGAGTATCAACGGCTAGTCTAATTCTAATACATGAATGCTACTAGGAGACTGCAGAATAGGTTAGCTGAAGATGGACGAGTGAACGTTGTTGATCCTAGAGCCCGGAAAACTCTAAAGGTGGTAAGCGAAGCGAGCTAAACCGGTCTTCCGGAGAGGAAGTCGAAATTAGTGTTCAAGTAAAGGAGATACAGATTCATTAATGTATTTTTTTACTTCAGTAGCTCCAGGTTTTCTTTTTTAAAATGAGAAAATATCATTTTTAGTTGAAAATGATTTTGTTTGTCTGCCATTAATATCTTGTATAAATATTGACACTTGCTTAAAATAGCAAAATGACCTTGAAGATAAGTTTTACATTTGTGTCATCAAGACAGAGAAATGGTCAGTATTTTGTTCATATAACCATATTGGGTTGTTTGGTGGTTAACAAATCGCATTTAAAGTCTAAGTTTAGTTCTTTTTTCACGTTAGTATATCTGCAAATCTTGTTAAGAAGCTTGATTCACTTGGTACTTCTAAATATAGTAATTTGTACCTTAAAGTGGAATTTCCTTTTCTCCTATTAAAATAATTAATTGAAAAAGATTGCCTTTTTTTGGTGTGCTGCCGAAATTTATCTCACTTTTACTTCTGTCCGAATAATCTTATCTAAAAATAAAAAATATAAAAAGGAAGAAAAACCATGCTAGTCTATGTATCCAAGGAATGAGTGGTTATTAAAAAATTAAAAATTTAATAAATATAATATTTGAATTCTTTATATATATATATATATATATATATAGGTCCACGCTGAAAATGATGGGTTCAAATGAATCAATTCACTATGTTTTAGACTCTCTAGTGAATTGAACACCATAGAACAATTCTCCTTTTAAGATACTTTACCCTTCCAATCGACAGAATAGTCAAAAAATTACATATTCCTACATTAAACCTTTTTAATCTTAAGAAAAAGCAAGTCTAATTACGAGAATATAGCTTAATTATGGATTAAAATGTGATAAGCTCATGTCGGTATTATAACCAAATTCACTTTTGCCTTTCGAATATACTTTAGTCATATCTTAATTCATGGTTGAGAGATGAGTTAATTTAGAATGTTAATTCGATTTCACAATACTTCCCGTCTATGTTTGCCAAAGTTAATCGATATCTATGTTGGTGCGAGATGTCAGTTATTCTGTAGTATCTCGATATGCACATAAATCGGCTCGGACATCACAATAACAATAACAACAACCTAGTAGAATCCCATTAGCGGGATCTAAAGAGGGTAGGGTATACGCAGACCTTATCCCTATTCCAGAGGGGTAGAGAGGCTGTTTTCTGAAGACCCTCGACTAAGAGACAATAGACCCGTAACGACAATAAAAACCAGAAAAAGACTCGGACATCACAATTATTAAAAAAAAAAAAAAGATAAAAAGAACACAGTACACTTCTATCGATTAACATCCACAAAAGAATTTCCATAATTGGAGAAAGAGAAATGACGGAAAGAGAAATAAAGTAGAGAGGACCTCATTTACACCATTTATACTATTTAAGTACAACATGCCCTCCAAATAGGAATCTTCAAGGGCAATGAACCATGCTCTTTCCATGTGCACCATGTTCCCTATGTGATTAATTGTTGAAACATCAAAATTGGACTTTAAAAAAAAGCATTAATTTCCATTTCTTTTTTTTTTCCTTCTTGTAATGTGACTTTTGAGGGTCCCCTCCAACAAAAATAGAGAAAGGTGGGATTGGAAGTGGGCATACATTTGAGTGTTCACTTGTACATATTTGTCATCACACTTATTTTTCCCTCTCACGAGCTCTAAGAAAATAATTACTCACTCCATTTCAATTTAGATGAGGTAGTTTGACTCGGTCCGGAGTTTAAGAATTTTTTTTTAAAACTTGTAGTCTTAAAAGCTTAAGGGGTAAAAGCTTTATAGGGTCATGTCATTTGTGTGGTTATAAAAGCTTCTCATTAAAGATAGAATGGGTAAAATGAAGAGTTTAAAGTTGAATTATTTTCAAATTTAGAAATGTATTATTTATTTCGTAAAAGGCTAAAAAGGAAAGTACCTCATCTAATTTGAAAAGAGTACATTTTTCGGTCGCATCATTACTCAAAGGAGATAATAAATTCATTTCATACAAGATTAGAGAGTAAAACGCTCTATCCGAACCTCGTAAATCCTTTTCGTCGCCTAAGTGTGTGGCAGGAAAATCCTAATCCGGTGATCAGATCAGATCTGCGATATGCTTTGTCAAGTGCCGGATTGTGTTGGATAAATTTTTTTTAGAGAGGAATATGTATTTTCTCATAAGGTCAACTATTGAGACATCAAAATTGAACTTAAAAGTCATTAATTCAATTTCTTTCTTTGTAATGTGACCTAATTTGAGGGTCCGCAAAACATAACAAAGCAAGGGGTGGGGGTTGGGTTTTGGGGGGGGGGGGCATATTTGAGTGTTCACTGTTGTCTGGGCAACATTTACCCATGGCAATAAAGAGAAGGATATAATATAATGGAATGTGGGGGCTCTATAAAATACTTATTTGGGTTACAAAATTTGAGATATCCCCACATTAAACAAAATGCACATGCTTTTTCTTGTGTGATTTTGGACATTTGGGGTCCCCTAACACACTTCTCAAGATCTACATGATATATTTTGTTGCCTCCAAAAAGTTTACCTTGATATGATAAATTTTGCCTAGTTAGAATAGGTAACAAGTCACATCTCAATTCATAAATTTAAATTGCTCAAATGCTTTCTAATCCACTAAAGTATACTTCCACTTATATAGTATAATTACTATTCATGAAGTTAAATAGTTCTCACTATGATTTTTCAACACCTTATAGCTTTGCAGAAATAATACAGGGTTCTGCGTACAATAGATCCTTGTGGTCCGATTCTTCCTTGGATCTCGCGCATAGCAGGAGCTTAGTGCACTGGGCTGCCTTTTTTATAGCTTTTGACTATGGTATTGTAATTATAATACTTTTATAATCTTTTATGTTTAAATTTTATCTCAAAATTAGATAGGTTGGCGCTCATACTCTAAACTCTATACTAATTCTTTTTAGGCGAAGGTAAGTATCACTCTAGTCCCTAGACATGTGAATAAACTACAATATGTAAAGCTTAACAACGGTTGTTATTATATAGCTAGCACTAACATGGGTTGTTATGTGCAGAATTATATACAAAATTTAAATATTTATGAGTTAATTTACTACTGAAATCATCACACATTAAATTATTTCAAGTTTTAATACTTCTTGAATTTTTTTTTTTTTTTGCACAATTATATTTATGTTTCGCACTGAAAGTACTGGCTCAGCTTAACCTATTAACATGAGCTTCATCCCCTTTGGTTATATGGATATGGATCTCTTATTTTTTTTCTTAGATGTGAGCTGTAAATTATTATTTTTCTACACAATATTTACATGTTTGTCCAAAGGAAACCTTGAAGCAATGCTAAAGTTGTTTCTATCTGACTTATTGGTTACGGGTTCGAGCCGTTGAATCAGCCATTAATGCTTGCATTAGGATAGACTGTCTACATTACACCCCTTAGAGTGCGGTTCTTCTCTAAACTCTACGTAAATACGAGATATCTTGTGCACCGAGATGCTCTAAATATTTACATGTTTTTTAACCTTTGGAAAGAATTTTTTTAATCTATTTTGTCATCGTTGAACAGTCCAAAGTAAAAGTTACAAGCTGTAATTACAGTGTTGGATCCAAGAAGTTTTGAATGTGGACCCACCATTTACTTTTATCAAACAGATTTGGTAAATTCTTTTAACTGTTGATAGGTAGATAGGAATGAATGAGTGAATGAAAATTGGCAGGGAACTGTCAAACTTTTACTGAAGTAATTTTTTCTTCTTTTTTAATCTTCATGAAGTGTCAAACTTTTACTGAAGTAATTTCTTTTCAAACTTCATGTTATGCCCTACCATAATTATTGACTTTAGACTTTGGACTAAAAAGTTAAGACTTAGGCTATAATTAATACCTATTAAATTGTGCATGTGTAGTTAAGTAGTTGCCTAGCATGCTAATCAAAGAACTTACTACTTTAATTATGACCTAAGTTATCATAGGATAAGATCAAT